ATTATGGACAGAATACTGTTTGAAACCAGGTATTTAAAAATAATAATTTTAGAAATTCCTTAAAGAAAATGATCAATAAGATGAGAACAGAATTGATATGGGCAACATATTCTGATTCTTATTTCTTATACTGACTTGGGGACTCTGATGTCTAAAAAACAAAAAATTCCTTTTGTTTGATATAGTAATAGCATAATAATCATTTTGTATGTGATTAAGTATCATTGGATAGAATCAATTTGAAATTCAATTCAGCAAGCAGTTTTTCAAGGTAAATCACAAGCTATGTTAGGTGCCTGTGGGGCTTTCAAACAGTATGGGCCCTGTTCAGAAGAACTTAACCCTTCTCTTAAGGAACTTGAATATATGCTGAACTAACTGTAATATGGCATGATATTCATAACCAAAAATATATACAAGAATATATAATGCACAATTTTTTCACCTTTAATTCTTACATTCTTTGATTTAGGCTCCATTACCTTGATGTTGATGCAAAAAATTAAGTTTCCAGAAAACAAATTATTTGCCCAAAGTCAGTAACAGACCAAGAATACTCATGCATCCTTATGTATAAATGAAGTAATTAGTAAATTGGGGCACCACAGTATTGTGGATGAATGTCAGAGAATGACATATTTTGATTAGAGGAAAGATGAAAAATATTTATTAATTGTGGTAACAGGAAAATAAATATTAGAAGAGTAAAATATAGAATGGGCATTTTTAAAAGGAGAATGTTAATTTAGTCCATACTCCATATTAATCCTGATTATTTGTAATATCTACTGTCATTATCATACATTTTTAGGATTATTCACTTTCATCCTTAGAATAATCATATGATAGAGATCTATTGCTAGTATCCTTGTTATACATATGAAGAAATGAGGAATAGAGAAGTAATTTTACAAGTTCTTAAATCAAGAATTGGCATGTTAAATTTGAATTTTGATGAGCAATTTTTTAAGTGTAAGTATGTGCCAACCAATCTATGCTCCAACTGGATCTCTGATATTTTTATTTGCTACTTTAACCCAAGAGACCTCGCTCTTAAACGTCGTGCAACATTGGTTACTATGAGCTCCTCAGTTACTCTGAATGATCTGAATATGCTTTTTATAAAAATCTTATAGTAAAATTAAATCAACTTTGGGGGCTTTATTAATATCTTGTCTAATGTACATCATCCATGCCTATGTTTTTTTTCAACAGAAGCAGAGTCCAAAGATAAAAACATAATAATTCACTTGATGAAAAGGATTCACATAATCCATGAAAAATATTCAGAACAACTACAAAATACACATCTACAAAAATTAGCCAAATATTTAAAATATATTGGATTTGGCAACTTGGCATACTCATTATGTCATCAAGTTTGTGCTATAGGAAATACTATATGAAATTCATATATATGAGTGTATATATATGTGTGTTTGCATGAACTATTTTATGAAATGTATTTGGAATTAATGTATATTAAATTAAGCAAATGGTTAGTTATGTATTATCCTGTATAGACACAGATCTGACATTTTTTGTGGACATGTATTTACCTAGAATAAATGTTTTATTTATACTAGAGGTGTTAAGGTCTGTATGTCTGTGTCTATGTTCTCCCTCCCCCAATTCATAGGTTGAAATTTTAACCCCTGTTAAATGATGGTATTTTGAAGTGGATCCTTTAGAAGTTGAGTAGGTCATGAGAATGGAACCCTCATGAATGGAATTAATGATCTTATAAAAAGACCTCAGAGTATTAGCTAATCCCTTTACCATGTGAGGTTGCAATGGAAAGATGGCTGTCTATGGGCAGGCTCTAGCCAAGTCTGACAGCTCCATGATTTTGGTCTTCCCAGTTTCCAAAACTGTAAGAGACAAATGTTTGTTTGTTTGTTTTTTAAAGATTTATTTATTTATACAAGAACTGGGGTGCAGGCAGAGGCGAGAGAGAGTGAGAGGATTCACCAGAGACAGAGCAGGGAGCAGAACAGGCAGATGGACCAAAAACACTGCTGAGGGGAGCAGCAGGCAAGACAGGAGAGGTCTGCTGTGCCATGTGGGTTTCTCCCTGGCTGGCCAGGAATCGAACCCACACTGCAGAGGCTGCGGACAGTTTTACAGCGCTGCGCTCAACCCGCTGTGCCACCGGGGAGGCCCCAAATGTTTGTTATTTTATAAATCACCTTTTTTACCTGGAATAAAATAAATCTTAAATCTTACTTTTACTTGACAACATATTTTTATGTATATAAAATACATAGCTTAGGTATTTTAATAAAGATGATGACTACAACTAGCAAGGAAATAAAAAAGCAATATACAAATATGCAAAGAAAACAGACTAAAACAAACAAACAAAATAGGTAGGCTGTAAATTTAGAAAGATAATGTAATTTAATCATTAACTTTCAGTTCTTTTCTAATATATGAATATTATACATTAATCTTAAAATACTTCTTTAGCCACACTTGAAACATTTCATTCTTTAATGATACAGCTTAAAAATATCTTTTAATTTCCATTATCATTTGTTTTTTGGCCCATTTATTATCTATAAGAGGTATATCATGTACTTTATAACAATTATACCTTATTTCTAAGTATGCTTTCTTTTTTACTATCTTTTTTGGTACTTCAATCATTGCTACATTTAGGTCAATGACAGATCCTTATGTCTTTCAGCCTTTAAAATTCAAATTAATAAATATTTTATATCAGCAACACATGTGAATATGAAATAAATAAGGATTTTATATTGCATTAAGATAGTATAAAATATATTAAATTATTGGTACTAAATCTTTGAAAGATGATGGGACATTTATAAATAAATTTTAAACTTTACTAAGCTATATTTAAAAAGAAAATTTGTTATTTATTTTAACGAAGTAATGTTTTCTAGTGTTATATAGGCTTCTTTCTGGTATACAGACTTGTATATAGACATCTATATATACTACATTATTCTAGTTTCCATCCATCATTATATGGTTGACCTCTTTTACCTGAAATAAAATAGAGATACATAGAGGAATAATTTAAGTTTTTGAATCAAGGGATATTATGATTATGATTGCCCTAAACCTGTAGACCATTTGGGGATACATATTAGTCCCTCAAATTTTCCTATATATTCAGTACAATTATAATAAAAGATAAAAGAAACTTCAGATTTTTTTTCCCTGAACTTTCATGATGTGTGTGTTTGTGAGTGTTTTATTGCCTGATTCTGAAATTTACATGAAAGTTCAAAGGACATAAGTAATTCAGATGCATTTGAAACAGAAGCTCAAAGTAGGCAAAATAGATATATTTGAAAATAAGATGATCAAGGTGGACAGGTGGTAATCTTTTTTAATATTCAGCCTGTTGTACTACATGGTAAAGCAAGTCATCTCTAAATGTTTTATGGTTGATGCCTCAAATCTACTTTAATTCTTATCAGTCATGTTGGACCCTGACCAACTTTGTCAGTGGGTAAATAAACTTTACTGAATGTGGGGAGAGAAGGGAATAGTTAGTTCTGGTTACACAATCTATAACCTTTTGGGAAAAAAATTAACTGGTTTTATATTGAGTCTATATAACCATCTTGCCAGGTTCACTGTCTTGGAGGAGAAATTGGAGCAGAAGTTTGGGAACATCTTCTAGTTATGATTCGGTGTCCCTTTCTGGCACTTTCTGCTACTATCAGTAATCCTAAACATCTTACTGAGTAAGTCTGAGTTTTGTATCTACTATTGTCTCCACTAATGGATGGGAAATTTTATCCACTCATGAATTATTTAAGGCAATATCTAAAACTAGAAAGCATTTCTTCTCATGCTTTTTGACTAGGCATAATTTACAGTTACCTGGCCCCTCAATAATTTTATGTGAGAGTGACTTAAATTTCCTGTTTTAGTATTTAGAATCTCAGAGAATTTATTTATTTATTTATTTATTTAAAAAGGATTTATTTATACAATCATCACTGGGTACAGTCAAAAGTGCGGGAGGGTGAGAGGATTCACCAGAGCCAGAGTGAGGAACAGAACAGGCAGACTGACGAAATACACTGCTGAGGGGAGCAGCGGGCGGCAGGAGAGGTGTGCGCGCCATTTGGGACTCTCGCCCGGCAGCCAGGGATTGAACCAGCACTGCAGAGGCTGCAGGCAGCTTCGCAACCCAGTGCTCAACCGCTGCACCACCGGGGATGCCCTCTCAGAGAATTTTAAAAGGCAGTTTAGAACTCTTCTCCCAATATACTACACACATACCTTTCCTATGCAAAATACTAATAAATGTTTTCAAAATGGGTTAACACACATAGCAAAAGTGGATATGACTGCCATGTTTGATCGTTCATTTCATGAGGAACGTCAAAGTATCAGTTCTTGATGATTATATAGCAGTAAGAACTGATTAAACTATGTGAATATAAATATGGTTTTAATGTTCAAAGTTTAGAGAAAATTTTTATTTTTTTAAGTTCATGATTTTTCTAAGAAAATAAATGATATACTATTTTTTCTGAGACAAATTAATACTTTTCTCCTTTTTTATAACTAGGTGGTTGGTGTTAGTTAAAAGCTACTGGCAACATGTTGAGAGCACAATGGAAAACTCTGGTCCATCACAAAATGTCTCAAAAAGTTCAAGGAAACAAGCAAAAAAAAGAACAGACAAAGCATAGTACAGAGTTAGACTAGGTATGACTATTTTAACATGAGAAAGGGAGCTCAGAATTCTTGAGTTCCATGCATGCTTGTAACATGTTAAAGTATTTGATATATTAATAAAAATTGTTCCTTACACTAACTCTGAAATCAATTTTATTTTTACTTAAATGAAAATAAAGCAAGAAACTTGGCCTTAGGAGAGTAAACTAAAGTCCACACAGATAGTAAATAGTGTATCTATTAAACTTGAAGATCCAGATTTTCCAAAAATTTTGTTTTGAAATAATATCAATTTATTACATTAAAAAAGTGATAGATTATAGTTGAAGACTATGAGCAAGAGAAAAAGTAAAGCACAGTGCATAACATAGTATAAGTACACTTATCAAGGTTTTTTTCCCAGTGCACAGCACTATTTCCTGGGTTTGATTAACAGTGGATTCCTTCATAACTCTCCCTATGTCTGCTCACAATTGTAAAGTCAGATTCCATCCTTGTTTTGAAAATAAACAGATCTTATTGATCATTTCAATTCTGTATTTATAGTATGGTACAAAGAGCGATACAATGATGTTGAAAAGTATGTGTGTTCCCTAAAGGATAATGAATTTATCATTGATCATTATCACCCATGTGCTGCACTTAATGTCAATCATGTGAGTATTAACCATTTTGGAAATTGATTAATTATCTATATGGTTAATAATCTGCATATGAGATACAAAATTAGTAATTTTTTATTTTATGGTTTTTAGATTAAGAAGTATGGAATCCCTTTAGACCTTGAATTTTCCCCTCGGGAAAGCATACTGCTTTATGATGCAATGGTACACATTTGGCCAGAATGGCCAAGAATGCAGGTTTGTGTGTGTGTGTGTGTGTGTGTGTATGTGCATTATATAATGTGTGTGCATTATATAATGCACGACCATTTTTTATATATATGTATACACTATGATATATATATGTATACACTATGATAGCTATATATATGTACACTATATATTTATGTGTGTGTATATATATGTATATATATATATGTATACACTATGATAGCTATATATATATATATGTATACACTATGATAGCTCTAATTCTTTGGCTATGAAAGTCCATCAGTAATGAGCAAATTGATGAACCACATTTATTTTGGTATAGCTAATGGCAATATATTTGATTATTAAGATTATAAAGTATTGTCACAGTGTTACAGTTTTGGTCATATTAAATTTTCTATATATCTACTTTCCCTCCCCCCCAGAAAAGATAAGCTCTACTTGCAAAGTTGGTATGAAGATTAACTGAATTATTATTTATAAAGTGCTTAGAATAGTGCATTTCAATGGTAAGAAAAATGTATTTTTTAAAATAAACATTTTAGAAAATTTTTTTATCTCTAAAACCAATTGCAATCTTTAAAAAATTGTGTATTGTGGTTTCTAATGGAAGCAAAACACTACACAACCATTACATAGAGAACAAAATCACCATCTTATATGCAGTTAACTTTGTAATTGAATTTAAATGGGTATTGACCACTTGAGGGATTTACTTCATAGTGATGTATATGGAAAACTTTAGAAAGGATGGACGATGACTTTATTTTTCTTGGTTTGGGGTTCCTCATTTTCAAGGAATTAGAACCTGAAGAATTCAGCTGCTTCAAAAATAAATTAGTCATCAAGAAATCTGATGTCAAGAAATACGAAGAGGAACTTAAAAAGGAAATGATTTGTTGGATTGAGTTGGTCCCAAGCAAGGTAATTAAAGCCATTTAGATTCATTTAAATATAAAACAAATATTGAATGAATTTGACTTCTTCAGTTACAAGTAGGAGAATCACCCATAAAACTTTTGAGGATTTGAAGATGGATATCTTCTAAACATACACTGAGGTTCTACTCTGAATTTTGTTAGCTAGATGTGAAAAAATGCAAAGGGTTATTACCTAAGCTGTAGCTTGGACAACCCACACATGCTGGTACCATGTTTTTTTTTTTGAATTACATTTGATATAATAAAGCTTAAGTTAGGTTATTTCTTTTCATAGAAGGTAAAAGTTCTCCAGTTTCTGACACCACTGGGTTATTTTGTTGTTGTTGTTTTTTTCCTTAATATTTCTCCAGGCATGACCATTTATGCATTCACTTATTTGGATAGGTGAATGCTTAGTTTCTCTTGTTGCCAACAAACTAGATAGGAGAAATTTTAATTAATATTATTTCTCAAAATATTGGACAATAGTATCACCAGAAAAAACAAGCCACTTTTTAAAGGCCAAACAAACTTCACCACAATTTTCTTTAACATTCTGCCTCCTCTTCTGAAGCCAGAGTCATTGAGGCCTGTTGGGGAGTCATATCATAGGCAAAATGTTGAATCACCAGGTTCTTGTAGAGTGGCCCAACCTCCACCTCACAACAGCTGCAGATGACTCTGAGAGGGGCTTCTTTAGGCTGAGTCAGCAGATGGAGTAGAGGAAATGGAAAAAAATCGTGTTGAGCTTCTTTGAATTTTGATAATGTAGTCAATTATTATATAAATCGATAAATTATATAAATCACAGAATGTAAGCAGAAGCAAAAAGAACATGGCACACACAGTTTGGATAACTTAAGCACTTGTGTCTCATTTCTCCTTGAGGTTATACTGAACTATACTTGGCTTAAGACCAGCATCAGTAGATCTTCTGGATCAACAGATGATTTGTTCTCTATCTTAGGGCTAGGCTCCTAAACACTTGGGAATTTAGCTAAATTCTGCTTTCAAATGATTCTATTTGTTCATATTTTCTGTTTTTTTTTTTCCTGGACATTCTGGTTTGCAACTGTTTTTTTTAATTTAATGATTAATACCCTCCTTGATAGTTGCTCTCTCAGTGTTGATTTGGGTGATAAATTTTAATGATTGTATAATCTCTGGTTTGTATTGGTAGAGTTTTGTGGAAGTTATGAATATTGTACCCCATAGAAACCCTGGTAATAATCAACATTTTGTGACAATATCCATCCCCTTCAATAAACACCATGCTATAGAATATAGACTTACAACACTGTTTATCACTTGAAATATATCACTTGAGTTTTCTGAGATTAGTGCATGATTTGGATTAATTCTCAGCTTCCTCCATAAAAACCCAATCTTACAAATTTGATTTTCAACCTCAAATGTTAACTGATTTTATTACCAATTTTTATTGATAATTACAAATATTTTATGATCTACTTTTTATCTATGATTTTACTCAGTTGAATGAGTTACTGAAGTACCTGAAGCCTCAAACTTTTGACTGTGCAGAAAGTGAAAAGCGAAGAAAGTTTCCATTCTTTGTGGAAAAACTTAAAGAAATGGATAAGCTACCCGCAATATTTTTTGCGTAAGTCTGATTTCTGTAGATAACATTATACTTAATGTTATATTAATTTGAGGTCTTCTGAAACAAATAATTGAAGATGGATATATAGTCTATGATTCATATTAGTAGATTTTTGGGGAATTTTTACTCATATTAAAGTCAAATTATTATACCAGTTTGGGTTAATATGAGAAGGAAAATCTCCATTTTTAAATTATACCTCAAAATCTTATTGCATTATTAAATACCATAGAATTCTCTGGTCCATTAGTTATTAGAAAAGTTACATATAACTTCAAAGTCAGACAAGAGTAAAAGAATAAACCTGTGTTGGGCCAGGCTGTTCAAAGACAATTTCACCAAGTAACTTGGTCCCAAAGTGTAGTCATACTAGAGAGGGAGGACCTTCTCCAAAACAAACACAGATTATGAGGAAAAACTTACATGATATATATATTTCAACTCTTTTCTATCTCTGTCATATATATTGTGTATATCTTCATATATATCATATGTATATGGGAGAGAGAATAGGTATGGTTTGAGATTATGCATCTTCATATGTATATGTATATATACATCCATCCTCTTATAAGTCTTACATAAATATACAAATTTCATAGTCAAACCTGTAATTCCAGGCCAAAGTGTGAACTCCTTCAAATGCTAATAAAAGGAATTTTCATTTTTTTGTGTGGTAATAGGAAAAATTTTGAGCAAAGATAAAAGGTTGAGTCAAGTATGATGAAGTACAAAATATTCATAGAAATCACCACAAAATAAAATTCTTAACTCAAACTGCCTTTCATAGGTGAAATAACTAACTGGTATTATAGAAACAAACAAAAACCCCAATAGTTGTTCTTAAAAAATATTCAGAAATCTTAATACAGGGTGTTTTAAAATGGAAAAAGGAGCAGTTTTGATCCAGTAAAGAGACTTTACCTAATTAACCATTTTATTTATTCTATTTATAATAAAAAATTGAGCCTGTATAGAAAATTTTTGGTTCTTTCTTTTACTCATACAGACTGAATTGGGACTCCAAAGGGTCAAAATGTCTCTACAGAGAATATTACCTAAATAAATGTTCTTGCCATGAATTCTGATTATTAATGCAAACAAATCTAGAGTGACATGAACATGCAACTTTCAAAAACGCTCACATTTTTTTAAAAAAATCTAGATTCAACATTCACACAGTAGAAATATCAGCTTCTCGACTGCGTTATAATTTGATAAGTAAACAAAATACCCATAATGATTCAAATTCTGAAAAGGAGAAGAAAATTTTGATCAAGAAACTGTGGAAAGCAAGAAGGGTTCAAAGGAGAAACTTTGCTGCGTGAGTTTTCTTCTTGAATTGTGGAATTAGACATTTAATAAAACGTGACTATTTGGTTAATTTTATAATTCAAAGTTGTTTTTAGAATGTGTTGATGTAACTTTCTCTTGTTGTGATTAATAAGTTGATTATATTATTCTATTGGGGGATCATAAAGGAGAACATATTGAGTATTTTTATAATTATACAGTTTTTTAAAATAATTTTCTTCTATTAGATTCTTTCCTTCCTTTGCCTTAGAAGCACAAATTGTAAATTTGTGTTTTAGAAATTGCAAATTCGTTTAGAGTGTATGAATTTTATACCTATTTTTGAAGGATAGCTACTAAAATATCAAATATCTCCTTAAGCAAGAGGGGTTAACTAATACATTTATCTTTTAATACTCAAGAAATACCATTTTAACATTTTTGTACTTTTATTATCTAAATGTAAAACATAGAATTATGTGAAGAAATGCCTCTACTTCATGAATATCTTTTAATAGGACAATTGTGTTTGGCTTTGAATTATCTGGCATTCTTCTTACCTGGCATTTATAGACATAACCTCAAACAAAAAAAAAATAAAGGAACATGTTATAATCAATATATTCACTGATTTTTTCTGATTATTCAGTTTTATAAACTCAGGTTCATGTGCTAGAATTCAAAGATTGATTTTATGGTCAGCTGAAATAAAGGAAATGAAAAAAAACCTTAATAAGCTTTGTGAGGCTCCTGCAGACTGTACTTATGCTGATCGTTCAGTTGTGGATTACCAGGTAAGATGAAAAAAATAAACATATTCATTTGAACATGTGTATAGATTATTAGAGATGCTCTAATAAAATACCATAGACTGAGTGGCTTAAACAGCAGGAATGTTTTTTCTTACAGTTTTGTAGTATAGAAGTCCAAGAACAAGGTGTTGGTGGGTCTGGTTATTTCTGAGGGCTGTGAGGGAGGGACCTGTTCACGTCTCTCTTTTTGGCTTGTAGATGGCCATCTTCTCTCTGTATCTTCAACATTGTCTTCTCTCTGTATAGATCTATGTCCAAATGTCTTCTTATAAGAACACCAGTCACAACAGATTAGGGTCCATTTTAATGACTCCATTGTAATGGTCCAGGTAATTTGATGTATTTACCTCTCTAATGAGCTTATCTCTGTGAAGTCATATTTTGAGGAATTGGGGTTAGGACTTTGACATATGAACTTTAGGACAGACACAATTCAACCTGTAAAATGTGTGTGTCTATAGTAATATTCAATGTATAAGATGCATAAACATTTAATGTGAATTCATCTTAATATATGGTACTAAAGTTGGAGGCTGGAGAAGTTAAGATAGCTTTTGTCAGGTGGTACAACTATTAAAATAGCTTGCATATTCATGCTAAGTTACAACTCTAACATCTGCAGTTTTCTTCGGTTTTCTGCAGTTTACTTTGCTTTGTGAGATTGGCTCCATTATTTGAAGTTAACTATTCCTCTTTATTTATTTATTTATTTATTTATTTATTTATATTTATTTATTTATTATTTTAAAACAATATTTGCTTTCCCCCCACCCCCTCAGGTTGAGTCCCCATAGAATTTCCTTCCCCAAGGCACCCGTGCACCCTCGCCACAGTCCCCTGTGCTTCTCCCTCTCTTCCTCTGATCCCTCTCCCTCCTCCTCCCCTGCAGCAATTATCTGTTTTTGCTTTGCTGTGTTTTGTACTGTTATTATTATCTTTTTACACCGATGTCTTATTTGGTTCCCCTATAGTCCTGTTATTAGTGAAACCATCCGATATTTTTCTTTTTCCTTCTGGCTTATTTCACTGAGCATAATTCCTGCTAGCTCCATCCACATTGCTGCGAATGGTATGAGTTTATCTTTTTTGATTGCTGAATAATATTCCATTGTGTATATATACCACGTTTTCTTGATCCAGTCATCTATTTTTGGGCATTTGTGTTGTTTCCAGGTTTTATCTATTGTAAACAGTGCTGCAGTAAACATAAGTGTGCAGCTGTTTTTTTGAATCAATGTTTTTGTGTCCTTTGGGTAGATCCCTAGTAGTGGAATTGCCGGGTCATATGGTAGCTTCATTTTTGGCAGGTTGAGGAATCTCCACACAGCGTTCCACAGTGGTTGGACCAGTTTGCACTCCCGCCAGCAATGTAGGAGAGTTCCTTTTTCACCGCATCCTCGCCAACATTTGTTGTTGCTAGTTTTTTTAATATGTGTCATTCTTACTGGTGTAAGGTAGTATCTCAGTGTGGTTTTGATTGCATTTTCCTGATTATAAGGGATGTTGAACATTTTTTCATATGCCTGTTGGCCATTTGCATTTCCTGTTTGGAGAAATGTCTTTTTTCTGCCCATTTCTTGACTGAATTGTACTTTTTTTTTGAGCCATGTGAGTTCTTTGTATATCTTTGTGATCAGTCCCTTATCAGTTAACTATTCCTTTTTATGGATAAAAATATAAAAATTGAATGTAAACTCTCTTCTGAACAATAGGCTTACAAAGCAGCTTGCTACAAAAGTCTCAAAGTCTCAAAAAGTCAAAATCAGATGTGTCTGTCTTCTGAAAACTCTTTTTTATTCTATATCCACCGTTTACCTAGCTCTTCAGCCTGGAAACCGTGAAGTCATTATTGTCTTGTACTTCTTTCTTACACCACATCTCATTCAAAAAATAATTCTAGAACATGGATAGGCATCCTGAGCAGTGAGTGTTCATAAAATGCTTTTGGGTTGACTTCATGATTCATGTCCTATTCAGAGATTCTTGGTATTACTTGTTTATGCTTGTTTCCCTCCTTAAGATATAGGAGAGAACAAGAGAGGCAGAGTGAGAAAAAAAGGAGACAAAGCGAAAAGAGTAAGAAAAAAGACAGAGAATCAATAATAATAATGACTGACAAGAGAGAGACAAAGAAATTGTATAGACATAGACCAGGAACTTTCAAAGAGAAGGAGAGAAAGAAGAGGAGAACAAGAAAGAAGAAAGGGAAGAAGGAAAGAAGGAGAAGTAGAGAGAGGGGAGATAGAAGGTAGAAGGGAGATCAAAGATAAAAAACATAAAGACAGACAGGAAGACACAGAGGGAGAGCAAGGTGATAATAGAACTTACTTACCAGTAAGTTAAGTTTAAATCAACAGCAAAAATTAGAACAAAATGTGGTGGTAGAAAATCAGACTAAACTGAGAACTTAGGCAAAATGGGTTGGGTACTAGCCTCAGAGTACTCCAGTCCTTTACTCAATTCCCTGTTTCTTAGAATACTTATCCATCCCCTTCAGTGTATCCTCATTGCCGAGGCTGTTCTGGAGACCCTAGTACTTCAGAACTATGACCAGTGATTAACACTTTGGGAGCAAGTAGAGGCTTTCATACTCAATGGCGTGGGGGGCAGAAAATGGGGCACATGATCTTGATGAGGAAATGGATGAAAAAGGGATCACCCTGTATGGGGTAGATCACATTTACCTGTATCAAGTACCAAACATGACTGCCAGGTTCTATGGGATTGTTCTAAAACACCTGGTCTAAAATAGAACTACTTATTTTTAGAAGTGTGACTCTGAAATAATTTCTAAGCAATCAAATAATATCTTTGGTAAGTTAAAGGGTAACTTCTTTAATATGATATTGAAAACTCTTTGGCTGTTTCAGACTTTAATGAAGATCCTACGCAGACTGAATGGAACGAGACAAGGCTATAAGCTGCATGGTCTGTTAAGGAGGGGCATTGGATTTCATCATGGCTCAATGGAATACAGAGAAAGACAAGTTGTAGAGTTGCTTTTTAGATTGAGACATGTCAAGGTTGGTCACATTTGAGGATAACTGTCCTAAAAGCACAACACTTTATTTCTTTGGACTGAGTAGGGAAGACACTCTATCTGCCTTCCCTTATAATCACTCCACTTAGAGGGTTGCTCTGCTATCGTTTTAGCATATCTTACTCTGTTCTTTTAAGCACATTTTTGCATAGGTAATCTAAAACATATACAGTACATTACATATAATTTGGGAACTAGTCTAATTTGCCTAATAGTCTGTCATTAGTATAGTATTAAATATTGTGAAATAAATGTTTTGGAAATATATCATAATACATACACATGTAGTTTATTTAAACATTCTTCTATTGTTGATTTTTTAAATTTAAAAATATGTATCAGCATTTCTGCTTGTTCACTTGGGATCAAGTGCCAGATATCACATTCTATTCTATGTTTTCAATAGTTCAACTTTTAAAATTTTCACATGTGAGTGATAGCACACAAATTTCATCTTTTGGTCTGATTTATCTCATTTAGCATAATGCTTTTTAGATCCATCCATGTCACAAATTCAGTGTTCTTTTCTTTCTCATAGCTGGGTAATGCTTCATTTTTATATATACCTCAACTTCCATATCCACTTAGGTTAATGTTTGATGTAAACTTGTTTCTGCTCTTCTAATGATTTTTATCACTTTGTTTTCTGTCCTTAGAAATTTTTATGTAAAAAAAAAATTTAATGTAAATTTTACTTCCAAAAAAATTTAATGTAAAAAGAATGCATTTTAACTTATTGTTTTTACTTACACACAAAAAATCCAATGCTTAGCAAATGACTTTGATTTCACATCATCTTCTAATCTAAAAATGCTAACTGTAATATTAGGGGAAAACATCAAAGTGTATGTAAATTTCTATGAGATACTTATTCCAAAGAAAGGTTAAGTTTCTATTTTTAGTGACATTGCATTTGCATGATACTTTTATTTAAGAAAAGTGATTTGGGGCGGTCTAATCTACTTAGCATTTAGTGTTTTATGTAGTCTAAGTTGTTTGTTTTCCTTATTTTTTTTAACCCTTTACCATAGGTGGTAACAGCTACCTCATCCCTTGCTTTGGGAATTAATATGCCGTGTAAATCTGTTGTTTTTACAGAAGATTCTGTTTTTTTGGATGCCTTAAACTTTCGACAGGTATTTATATTACATACTTTTTGTTATATTTATATATGTGGGATCTGGATCATCCATCCCATATCAAAATATGGTAAACCATGTTTATTCTGAATCATTTGGTCACAGTAAACATGGGTTCTAAATACATGAGATCTCTCTTTTTTATTTATGCATACAAGAACTGGGGTACAGGCCAGAGGTGGGGGAGGGGTGAGTGGATTCACCAGAGACAGAGTGGGGAGCAGAATAGGTAGACTGACCGAAGTACACTGCTGAGTGGAGCAGTGGGTGAGCCAGGAAAGGTCTGCTGTGCCATTGTGAGTAGATATGAGGGGGGGGAAGGTTGAGAGGTTAAATATCTTAAATGACTTTAAAGATACCACAGAAAGGCTTGCAAGGAATAAGGTATTAGAGGAGGTCTTCAGTGTCAGAAACTTTGAATTCAAATTCCTTCTCTACCATCTATTAACTGAGTGAACTAGTCATATGTTCTGTGCTTTGATATACCTGCACTTTACAGCTAGAATAGGACAAATCTATGGTCATATCCGGGATCAACTGGAAGCCTGTAGCTCCCTGGCTGGGGATCAAACTCATGCTGCAGTGGCTGTGGTTACGTCTTAACCCCTTGCGCCACCAGGGAGGCCCCATATGAGATCTTTGAGGATGATTATATTTAAGTACATGTATTGATTAAATAAATTAATTTTCTTGAGGCTAGCCCTGCTTTGGTAAATATACTGAGTTTGAAGGGAAAATAATGTGAAGAAGTAGCAACAACTTTTTAATACCGAAAAGGAGCCAACAATTATAAATTATAGAGTATCTACTATGTTCTTAGTTCATTCAGGTTAATTTCTGGAAACATAGTAGTAAATAAGACAGAAATTGCTCCTGCTTGAAAGTCATCATCTTTATATGTAAGCATTACTGAAAAAGCAAACACATTTTGATAGTGTATAATTAAAATAAAATATAATTTTAAAGTTTGTTAATTTTTTTAAGTTCCCCTTATCTTTGAGATTTTGTTTCATTTTTAATTTTTTTGTTGTTGAGGCAACATTGATTGATGTCATTGTTTGTATTTTGGAAATAAAGGATCCCCACCTTCAGGTGTTGTTTCTATAGTGCACCCACTACCAAAGCACCCATATTCCACCACTTTGTGAAATTTAGTATATAAGAAACAAAGAACTCTTTTGGAGTCTTTGAAAGTTTAATGTTCTACATGACAAAATAAGTTAGACATTATTTAGAAGGATAAGATTTGAAATTATTTAAAAGTTATGTGATCATCTCTTTAGATGTCTGGCCGCGCAGGAAGACGTGGAGAAGATCTTATAGGCAGTGTCTTCTTCTATGGTATTCCATTACCTAAGATAGAAAGACTCTTAAAATCTAATGTGCCCAAACTGAAGGGTCAATTTCCTTTAAAATTGTCTTTGATTCTCAGACTTATGCTACTTGTTGCTAAAGCAGATGACAGAGAGGATGCCAAAGCAAAGGTAAACTTTCATGGTATTTGAATTAATAAATAAAATCATTTGAGCTCAATTTTATAATGTTACATAAACTGAAGGGAATAAAATAATGTGCTATAAATGAACTCATTGTAATGTTTAATTCTATTTTATGGTATCCTTATTCAAAACAAAAATATAATTTTAACTTTCATGCTTTGAAACATAGAAAAGTAAGCCCATGATTTCCATGTTATTATTATTCCTGGATTCTACATAATTTAGAAAGAAACTTTTTTCTGTATATATGTATTCACTGAAATATTTAAAAATCAATTTCAAAGAAATAATTAATGGTTGAGGAATGCACAAGAGACTAAAATGTTTGTAATTCTTGGTTCTATAATTTTATACCTTATGTTTGCTTTTCATCTCATGCATACAGTTGTGTTTATTACTGTCACTATCCAAATTTTTCTTAACATTTTCTATTACACACATATAATTAAAAAATAAAGGATAGCTAGTATAATGTAGTTAAAGTAGATAACAAAAGAAAATGCAATGCCTAATTTAAAATGCAAACGTTTCATTCACTATATATATATCTCATATGTAGTACATAAATACATACATTTTGCTATGATCTATAATAGAAATGTTTGATTGTCTTTTTATATATTACATTTGGAAGACACACTGCTCAATTTCTTAATGTCTAACTTGATATTTTGACCTATGCCTATATAGGCATTATCAGTTCTTCAGCATTCATTGATATCCTTCAAGCAACCAAGGATCAACAGAGTGATAAAATTTTATTTTGTATATTCTTTGCGCTTCTTAGTCACAGAGGTAAGATTTAACCCTATTTTCACAAAATGAAGGTGTTATTACAATTATTTAATTGTAGTATACAGAAATCTCCTTTATTAATGACTTATTTGTTTGATATTTCTGTGATACAAAGACTGAGGTTAACATGTCACAACTCATTTATAGGGTTACCTGAATCAAGAATGTATTCCCATTGGATATTCTGGACTTGTGTCTCATTTGCACTACCATGAGCCTGCAAATTTTGTTTTTGTAAGCTTGCTTTTAAAAGGTTTATTTCACAAGTTATGTGTTCCAACCTACATACATGGTAAGCAAATATTCCTTTCCCAAACTTCTGCTTGTTAGATTGTTTGGCCAACCATTACGCACATATGAATATGCATGTGCATACACACACACACACACACACACAGGCCACACATGATTTACATATACCCACACACATTCCCTAGAACTTCATTCACTTTGCTTTTTCTCTTATTGTATTTTAAACATTTTTCTTATAATTTTGTATAAATAAATATATTTATAGAAATAGTACTCATATATTCATTGTGTATTTGTAGAGAACTGTGAAGTATATCAAATTGATTTTTTTTAACTTGAAATCTATACGTGTTCTGCATTCTTCCAAAAGTATGAGGCAGTTATGACCCATTTCAAGTTCTCACATGAGATGTGTCATTTTCTTTTTGGTCTGCTGACTATGATTATTAAAGTATTACAAGAAAATATCAGAAGCAAAGGCAAGTCAGCCAGAGCAGGAGTGAGCTCTTTTGGACTGTAATACATGCTAAAGAGAAAGAACTGTGGACAAGGAATTTGGAAAGTACCATAATGCTTTCACTCTCTAGTGGATTTTAAACAGGGGTGAAGAAACAGAGTGGAGTGGAGAAACAAAGGGGAATCTTTGAAACTAATGATGGGATCCCAAAGGCAATTCCAAAACTGAAGGGCAAATGGCTGTTCATTTTTCCCCAGATTCCTACAGCTAAGAGTGGACACCATAAATAAATAAGTTAAATTAAAAAAAAAGGAACCATATAAAAATAGAGTAGATACTAGGACACCAATCATCAGTGCCTGCAGAGGGTACATTGTATGCATTATTATAAAGCAATATTGTAATTTATTAAAATTTCAAACAACTGGAAAGTAACATTTTCTTTTTTAATACTAATTTAAAATTTTTTTTACATCATTGTTCATTTTTAAATAATATTTGCTTCCCCCCATCCCCTCAGGTGTAGTCCCCATAGAGTTTCCTTCCCCAATGCACCCGTGCACCATCACCTCAGTCCCCTGTGCTCCTCCCTCCATCCCTCTGATCCTCTCCCTCCTCCTCCCCTGCAGGATGTCTCTGATTTATCATTGTCTGTTTTTTGCTTTGTTGTGTTTTGTACTGTTATTATTTTGTTACGGTGAAGTCTTAACAAAAGTCTTTGGTTCCCTTATATTCCTGCTATAAGTGAAACCATCCAATGTTTTTCTTTTTCCTTCTGGCTTATTACACTGAGCATAATTCCTTCTAGTTCCATCCATGTTGCTGCCCATGGTATGAGCTTATCTTTTTTGATTGCTGAATAATATTCCATTGTGTGTGTATATACCACATCTTCTTGATTCAGTAATCCATTTTTGGGCATTTGGATTGTTTCCTTTTCCAGGTTTTACCTATTGTAAATAGTGCTGCAGTAAACACAGGTGTACAGGTGTTCTTTTGAATCAATGTTTTTGTGTCCTTTGGGTAGATCCCTAGTAGTGGAGTTGCCAGGTCGTATGGTAGCTCCATTTTTAGTAGGCTGAGGAACCTCCAGACAGCTTTCCATAGTGATTGGACCAGTTTGCACTCCCACAGCAGTGCAGGAGAATTTCTTTTTCACCACATCCTTGCCAACATTTGCTGTTGCTTGTTTTTTTGATATGTGCCATTCTCACTGGTGTAAGGTGGTATCTCAGTGTGGTTTTAATTTGCATTTCCCTGATGATAAGGGATGTTGAACATTTTTTCATATGACTGTTGGCCATTTGCATTTCCTCTTTGGAGAAATGTCTTTTGAGTTCTTCTGCCCATTTCTTGACTAGATTGTTTATTTTGTTTTTGTTGAGTGGTATGAGTTCTTTGTATATCTTTGTGATCAGTCCCGTATCAGTTGACTGGAGTGCAAAGATTTTCTTCCAATCAGTGTGGTGTCGCTCTGTTTTGGTTAATGTCTCTTTTGCTGTACAGAAGCTTTTCAGTTTGATGTAATCCCAGGTGTTTATCTTTTCCTGACTATCTTTGCTTTGGGTGATGAATCTTTAAAGATGTTATTGTGATGTATGTCTTGTAGTGTTTTACCTATATTTTCTTCTATGTATTTTATGGTTTCAGGTCTCATGTCTAGTTTTTTTTTATCCATTTTGAGTTGATTTTTGTGCACGGTGAAAGGTAGTGGTCTAGTTTCATTTTTTTTGCATGTGGTGGTCGAGTTTTCCCAGCAACATTTATTGAACAAACTGTCTGTGTTCCATTGCATAGTCTTTGCTCCTTTGTAAAAGATCAGTTGTCCATATAAGTGTGGTTTTATTTCTGGGCTCTCTATTCGGTTCCATTGGTCTGTGTGTCTGTTTTTGTTCTACTACCTAACTGTTTTTATTTATTATTGCTTTGTAGTACAGCTTGAAGTTTGGAAGTGGGATATCTCCTTTCTCTTTTGTTTTCATCAGTAGGGCTTTGGCTATTCGTGTTTTTTTTTTTTGTGGTTCCATATGAATTTCATCAGTATTTGTTCTATTTCTTTGAAGAATGTCATTGAGATTTTTATTGGAATAGCGTTGAATCTGTATATTACTTTTGGTAGGATGGCCATTTTAATAATGTTAATTCTTGCAATCCATGAGCAGGGGATGTCTTGGAAAGTAACATTTTCAAATGTGTTAAGTTTAGCTGTTAAGAACTGGCTCAGTATATTTCTGAAATGATGAATTGTATGCTCTAAGGTTTTAAAAAATTAAATTCATTATTTTATTTTATTTTATTTTTTTTTACCTTTCCACTGAACTTTTATTTTATTTTATTTTTTGGTGGGTATCTGGTTTTTGTTTATTCCAAAGTCTCTCAGCACTCACCTACTAAAGAAGAGATGGTAAGTTCAGCTGATATCTCTATTGTTTTTCTTTTTATTATTTTATATATGTTTTCCATTTTTGTACAATGTATGCATTTTCATCTTGGTTAGTCCATGTGACATGCCTGCCACCCATTCACCTGTGAACTATCACTGTGGTCCCTTATGCTCTTCCCACCCGTTTTGATCCTACTCTCTTCTCCCCTCCCTGTAGAATGTCTCTGGTTTATAGTTGCCTGTTGATTTTGATTTATTGCTTTTCTTAAGAATGTGAAACAAGCATAACTAACTTTCTCTTGTGAATGTTTTATAATTTTCTGTGTACAAATTAAATTCATTATTTTAAACAGGCTGCAAGTCATTTTCCGAAGATGTGATGGAAACCTTAGTGGTAGTATTAGCCAATCTTTTTGGAAGAAAGTATTTACCACCCTGTGTAAAAAATTTTGAAAAGAACTTTTCTCATTCAGTGGTAAGAAAAAACTATTTTAATTATTGCTATTTACAGGTGAAACAACTTACTACTGAAAAAATCAAAAAGAATCAACATAAAAATTATTATAACTAATGAGAGTATAGTAAGTTTTCAAATGCAAAATACATCTCATAAAATATATAGCTTTCATACATGCTGAAGTTACAAAGAAAATAAAATGTGAAATAATCTCATGAATAATAGATAATAAAAATTAACAAGATACTGTCATTTCACTTGCTAATTTGGCAAAAATTGAACTTAGCAGTTTTGTTGATAGGGCTGTAATATACAGATATATACTTTAAAATAATCTTTAATGTAATATTTCAACCTTTTGGAATTTAAGTGAAAAATATGGTGAAAAATACAAATACAAATGGTGTAAAATATGTAAAAAATTTACATTAAAAATAAATTTGCTGTCATAGTTCTGCAGGTCAAAAGTTCCAAATTTTGCTCCCTCTGAAGACTGTGAGGGAGAATCTGTTCCACAACTCTTCCCTACCTACCGGTGGCTTACTGGCAACCTCCTGATTTCCTAATAAGGTTACATTTTGAGGTGCTGGGGTTTATACATGAGGGATGCAATTCAACCCATAATAGCAAGATTATTTATGATTGAAGATTGGATGCTATTTATGAGATGCATTTTAGCATATCTCTATGTGATAATATTATGCAGCCACTAAAATTTATCTTTTAAAATAATATTCTATGATGGGAACAAATGCTCCAGCTATAATGCTGATTTTAAACATTAGATAATATAATTGAGCATAACACATTTTCTTTACAACCTATTTCCCTAGATGGTAACTTTAGATTTTGTATTTGTACTTTGCTGTAGATAATAGAATTTATTCTCAGAAATATGTTTTCATCCAGACTTTAAAAATTTGTCTCTATGTCTCACAGATTTTGTAATTAGGTGCTTTTTGAATAATTTCATTCATTTCTTTCATTGTTCCTAGGTGATTCTAAATGCTCTTCCCAAGAACTTTGCTGAAGTGGTAGAGGAATACAACAACAGAATTCAGAATAATTTTGTTTCCTTTCTCTTAACAATTTCTAAGTTGGCTGACATGAGAAAAGAATGCCAACTACCACTCTCAGAAACTGGTAAGATTGTGACTGTGCATGAACAAAATGTGAAGCTCATTAAAGCAAATAAATGTAAATGTTTTGAGGTAAAAATAACTTTAGAAAATAAGGGCAAAAGTACTTCAAAAAAAAAAAAAGGAAATACAGGAAACTATCATAATCATTCAGATCTATACTTTGGAAATTTTATACTGAAAACTTTAAATTAGATAAACCACCATAGACTTGATTTGACACTAAATGTTTAAAATATTTTTATATTTTCTAGTGTCATTATGAGCTAGCAGACCATTCTATCATAGTCCCTTTTCTATTGATGCTTCTTGTCTTAGTAGATATTGACACTCATAGCTAATTATATTTTCAAATTTGAATAACTTTGGAAATAAAAGAAATGTTAACAAATGTATTAAGGGTCATCAGTATGTTGTACTTCTTTGAGTACTATCCATTACAACAAGAAGTTAAGAAATAGCTCATGTCTTTGAAGAAAGGATGAATGAAATTAAAATGAAAATAAAGGAAATTTCGGTAATTATGCCAGATAAAATGTAAAACATTGGAAGTAGATAATACACTCAGTGCACCAAAATGGAAAGATGGAGAGAAGGGAAGCTAAGAGGAAAATGGGAACAGAATTCTGTTTTCTTTTACTTCTATTAGAAGCAAGGAGAAAACATGGAGTAAGGGGAATGCTTTGGTATATTTATATATTTTTTTGATACATTTTGGAATGTTGAAGGCTTATGGAAGACAAAGAGAAAATGATCAGTCTATTCAGTCCTGGAATGAGAAATTAGTTAGTAATGAGTTTACTTCATGGAAAAGAACTTAAGTGTTTCTAGGATTGCCTACTTTGAGACTTGGAACAGTATAATTATCTCTCTTTATATTTCTTTAGGATCATTTTTATGGTGAGCAGAATAATGGCTTCCCCAAAGATACCCAGATTCTAATACTGGAAATCTGTCAGTATGTTATGTAGTATAGAGAAAAACAGATGAGACACAAATATAGAAGACAGGAAGAGACAGAAAGAGAAATAGAAAGAGAAAAAGTAGAGAAATAGAAACAGAGACAGAAGGACAAAGAAAGACATAAAAGAAGAGGGTGATTTACAGGGACAATGGTAGCAAGAAAACCAGACAGCATTACAGAGAAAGCAGAGAAGTAAAGAGGAAAAAATAGGATAAGGAGGCAGAGACCAATAGAAGATGAAGTGATTCAGTCAAATAGAAATGAGACATTAGATAAGAGTGTTACTGAAGAGAAAAAAGAAAACAAGTATAAAGGAAGGAATGTAGGGAGGCAGGGGGAGATGATAGAACTATTGTATAACACATATCCCTTGCTCCTTCTCCCAGACTCACCACTCAGGAGACTTGAATGAGCTCCACAGTGCTAGAAATATTTCTGACACTTTTGCTTCCAAGTGATTGAACTAGGAGATTTTTTTGTCCCTTTTATTGGAATAAGAATAGTATAGTTCCCAGAAAATGAGCAATTATGTCAACTTTATCAGTTATGAGAAACATTGCAGTTTTTGTAGCTCAATATCATCTTGATAATAAAACACATTGTAACGATCAGGTAGATGGCTTTGTCATTTGACCTGAGATCTCAAAACAATTGGTGTTTAACAAAGCTTGTCTTCACACTGTAAATGGTGTTTATCTAATTGCTAAGTGGATAGATCTGGAGTTGCCAATAGGATCAGCTGATGGCTGCATATGGTGGTATTACTAACAGTGTCCAGAATGAGATTAGTTTGGGAAGAAAACCCTTTCAGCAATGATCTTGCAATACAATTCTAAAATTTTCCATCTTAAATATTTCCCTTCTTAAACTTTGTTAAGTAAAATGATATTACTAAGCCTGATTTGTTTTAAGTAATTCATGTTTAATAATGGTTTTGATTTTTGTTTTTTATTTTCTAATTCATTTCTTATTAGACTTTCCCGGTAAAGAGTATGAAGATTCTGAACTGGTCTTTCATTTGATGCCTGGGACTGAAAGCAGAACTGCTGTCTCCCCATTTGCTTGCCTGTCCAACATAACTGATCAAGATTTATTTGATTTTAATGTGCTAAGTGATGTAAGTGGATTTTGGTATGAAACTTTCTTTCTCATGTCTATTCACTTAAGAGAAATCAATTTTACATGATTATAATACTAAGGGCTTTGCAAAACAAAGCCATCTTAATCTTACTCCACAGTAGAGGTATACTTCTCACTATAGCAGAAAAGAAATCTTTTAAAAAACTACTTGAATAATTTTAAAACAAAAAATTGGATTAGATAATACAAAAAAGAGTGGTACTTTGATTTAATCAGCATGTATGAATTATTTCTTATTAATATACATCACCATAAGTCCTTGCTATTCAAAGTGTAAATCAAAGTTCAGTAACAACAATATCACCTGCTGGAAATGCCTCATCTTGGGAGTCATCTCAAAAATGTTAAGTTCAGAAGGCGCAGTAATTTTTGAGAAACTCTGCTATTAGCCAATTGAGGGCAATTTGTATTTGTTTGTCATCATTTTTCTGATCCCTACATCTAAAAAAGTGATGTGTGGTAGGATACAAGGGGAAATTGGATAGGGAAGGATGGAACTAGAATTTCAGTGGTGAAATTAATGTAGTATATACAGATATTGATTTATAAAGACACATACCTGAAATTTATATAATGTTGAAATGCAATGCTACTTAAATAAAAATAAACAACAAAATAAATATCAAGTATTTTAATTTCTAAAACTAACACTTGAATCATTTCATTTATTGCACTACGTGATTGGGAATAATGAATCTGACCCCGGACAGTTTATACATAGCATGTTGATAGGAAGTAAATTCTAATGACTGTGTCTAAATCATAGTTAAAATGAGATAATTATATTCTGAAAGGCAGTTTCAGAAAAGAATAAATGTATATGGAAATGGGAAAAATAAGCACTATTACTGTAGTTGTTAATAATTCAAGGTTATAAAATCAAGAATACCTCTTCAGGGAAATTGGATTTGAAGAATATTTATAATAGAGTTCTGAGGTTATAGATGTAACTAGGCAACTTCAAACTTTGAATAAATTATTAGCATCATTTCTGTGATTTCTAAAATAGTATAAATATTTTTAGTGTTGATTATTTTTACTCATTTTTTTGGTTATATATATTAAAGTTTAGAGAGCCTTAATACACTGTACATTTGATAATATTTAATTAAAATATATTGGGTTATAGTTTTAGTTAGCTAAATGCAATAAACAATAATAATCAAATTTTATAATAGAGTGAGGCATATGTCCAAAGAAAAATGCTAACAATCCAAAACTTCTGCATATCCTCAGGCCATGTTACGAACAATAAACATGAATGTAAAAAATATTCCTTTCCTATGCTTGAATAAACAAGATGGAATTGGAAGAAAATGCCCATTGAATGGTTATGTATTGAACTTCTACAAACATGGTTCCTTGTCAATGCTGCAATTGGATAATTGGTATTACCTTTTCTATTTTAACATTCTTTATGGATGTATGTGTGTTTGTGTAAAGAGTGTTTATTATGCTGTGGCATTATAAGTTATTAGAATATTTTTAAGATGCAATAATTTAAGAAAATTAACATAAATTTTGCAATTATTTAAAATGTTTTAAAAATTATTATTGTGGCCAAGATCATATAAGATAAAGTAACCATTTTAAAGTGAACAACTTAGTGACATTGTACAACCACCACCACTACCTAATTACTGAACATTTTCATTAACCCCAAGTCTGTACCTATTTAAACAGTAACTCACTGAACATTGGGTTCATTTGGCTGTTGTGAATAATTGTAAATAGGTCAAATATGACCATGTGTGTACATATATTTGTTTGAATACCTGTTTTCATTTCTTTTTATGTGTATACCTATGAGTAGAATTCCTAGCTTGTATAGTGACTCTGTGTTTAAGATTTTGAGAAATTACTGCAATATTTTCTATAAAAATTGAGCCACTTTATATTACCAGCAGAAATATTCAAGGATTCAAATTTCTCTACAAACACACCAAATTTATTTTCCTTTATTATTGTTATTATCATTATTACTATTGTCATTCTATTGCATGTGAAGTCATGCTAACTTATTATGGTTTTGATTTGCATTTCCTTAAGCACCGGTATTGTCCATATCTTTTTATGTTTTAAAAAGAAGGTGTACATTCTCTGTAGAAATATCTATTCAAATCCTTTTGTTAGCACACAAACAAGGGGTACCCAGGGGCCCCAACATGCACACTCTAAAGGGGGTTCAGCCATCTACTGCATAGGACAAAGGAAGCAGATTGTTAATGTGATAGATATTTAATAGCATTAGTGTGCTGAGAGAGAGAGAGAAGAAAAAAGTTCCTATCAAGAATTTCCCAATAAAATGCCCCAAACTACTCATTCTCTCATTCCTTCCCTCGTGGGTAAATGCCTAGTCAAACAGTATTGACCTCAACCAGGTTCATTAAGGTCCAAAAAGTTTGCCATAAGTCTAAGCCACCTTCCGGTGGGGAGCCATAGGGAAGAGGTTCTGAAGCAGGGCCCAGAAAGCTGGGACAAGAGAACAGCTGCCATTGTCAGCTTCCCCATGTTTCTCTCACCCACATGTCTCTTAGAATTGTCTCTACATGTTTCTTCACCATATGTCTCCTTCCCAGTAGTACCAGGTTGCAAGTGGGGCTGCAAAAGCATAAGCTCTTTTTCTTCTCCCAGTCCACCTGCCTTTCATTAACCTGGCCCTGCCTTTCATTAACTACCTGCCTTTCATTAACCACCTGCCTTTCATTAACTTGCCTTTCATTAACCTGCTTAACTCTGGCCCTCAGTCCCAACAGCTAGTACAAGGTGGCTGCTTGTAAAGGGGGTGGGGGAACATGGTATCTCTCATTGCATGGACCTGTGTCTGTAACACTGACCTTTTGTAAATTGTGTTGTTTTCTTTGTTGTAGAGTTGTGGGGATTCTTTATATATTTTGGATAGTAGGCCTTTATCATCTATATGAATTACAAATATTTTCTCCTGTACATTATCATTTCAATTTCTTTATATAATGTTTTTTGATGCACAATAGTCTTTACTTTTGATGAAGTCTGGCCTATTAGTTGTTGCTGTTGCTTATGCTTTGGGTATTATATCCAAGAAACCATTTCCAAATTAAAGATTATGAAGATTTATCCCTGTTTGTACCCAAGAGTGTTACAGTTTTAATTCTTTTGTCTAGGTCATTGATTCATTTTAAATAGAGTTCTGTAAAGGGTGAGAGATAGAATCCAGTTTCATTCATTTGCAATTGTCTCAACATTTGTTGAATTATTTCCCCATTAGGTGGTCTTGACATGTTGTCAAAAATCATTTGGCCATAGATGTATGGGTTTATTTCTGAATTCTCTATTAGTTTATTCTGCATTAACTGAAGTGATCATGTGGCTTTTTTCCCCTTCCATCTATCAATGTGTTGTATTACATTGGTTGATTCTCATGAAGTTTGAATCATTTGTGAATTCCAGGGTAATTCCCACTGGGGCATAATTTATAGTCTCTTAAATATGCTGTTGGAGTCAGTTTGTTAGTATTTTGTGGTGGAATTTTTAATATATTCATAAGTAATATTGGTGTATCTTTTTTTTCCTTGTGATGTTCACTAAACTAAAAATAGTGAAATATTGACTGCAAAGAACATGAACACTTCACTATAGTCTTTCCATATCTATTTTAATTTTGTCCCAGAAAGGCCAACAATTCAGTGATGATAATTTATTATTTGCTTTACTGTAGAGTAGGAGCCCACTAAAACTGAATTTATTCTTTTAAATATTAGTTTGTTTTCTTTTTTTCTAGGCTCAATATGGGAGATGCCTTTAATTTTATCAGAGACTTTACACTTGTTATTCAGTCCATCAGGTATAGTAAATATTTCCTGCATTTAAAGATCATGTAACCAGTATAAAATTATTAAGCACAAATCAAACTGATAATAATTTAAAAACTTAATCTTTTACAGCATTTCACTAAGTGAATTATGTGATGATGAAAATGATAATGTTGTGTTGGCATTTAAACAACTAAGTGAAGCATTCAAAGCAAAACTTTGGAAAAAAAGAAGATTCAGAAAATATTAAAGTTTACCTAAGTACTATGGTCCTAGAAAACTAAATTCAAGAAATCACCCACTTTTTTGGTGTGTGTTTTAGGAAATGACTCGATACGACCACCCCTTCTTATGTGTTGAAGATGACCTCCTTGTTGATCTATCACAATGCTCAGATACCCTCCAAATTCTTATTCCTTGTCATAAATGATTACCTGTACTGGCTTCCCCTATGGATCCATCTGGAAAAACTACCTGTAAACTTGACTTGATCAAACTTTAGTCAGGCTTGCCTTTTCCCCACAGGTCCCTGACCACTTTTTGGTCTTCTGAATACTGCCTGGAAACATTCCCAGATCAACTGTCCCTGACCAACTGTCCAATCTCAGATCAGCTATGACTGGAAAGGTCACCCAAATTCATTCTCAGGTCAACTGCACAGTCACATCAGACATTCATTCATTCCCTCGCCCCCCACCTTGTTCTTTCTGCCTTCTTTTCTCATCCTTGTAAATCAAAAGTCCATTTTTGCCTGACTCTTGTGATGGCTACGAATCTCACAGTCAGAGTGTTCCCCCTATTATATTCATCTCCTGCCCCTTTTCCCTATTGCAATAGGCGCTCCACATATTGTAGTAGTCTTTCCTTATATCAATCTGGGTTTGTTTTGAATTGAAATTCATGTTGTGCCAAAGAAATAAAATGGATTAACTAGATGAAGCATAGTTTTCATAAATTTATTGAATTTATAGAAATATGCCCTGGTGAGAATGTTTTTATTTAAATATCTAAGTTCTCAATAGGAATTCTACCAACAGTTTTCTTCTAAGAATTTTAAATGGTATAATAACTATGCCAAATGTCACGAATAATTTGGCTTGAAATGGTAGTGATTTTTTAAGAGATAGAAATCAAGCCCATTTATCATAAAATGATATTAAATTATACACCATAGCAGTACGTTAAAGTCTTGAAACAGATTCCCATAGTCTAATTATTCTTAAATAGTTCATGTTGTGCCCAATCACTGTCTTTTAAATATCCTATATCATTATTCCTATCAAATATCAGACCTGAGTATATTTTCATTTCTCCTGAGTCCAGTAGAAGCAGAACTAGAAGGTCTGGGTTACAGGCTATTGAAATATGTTCCATGTGGAATAAAGTACTTCTATTAACTTTACCAATTCATCTACATATATTGCATATGTGTCCTCATCTGCCTTGAATGACTTTATTAACCACTGCTTCCTATGCTCTTGGTTTTTGTGTTTCCCTGTGCTTATATTGGGAGCCCTCTGTTGTGGACTCACACAAGCCTATCTTTACTTTTATTCTTGGCTAGATTGGGACAATAGTGTGGTGTCTCCCCCAAATCCGACACATTGAATAGTTTTCCTAATTTACCTAACTAGGAGTTGTGCCTAATTTACTAAATATTGAGATACACAAGAGACCAGATTTTACAATTGAAATAAAGCATATAAAAACTTCCAAAGACTTTGATGTTGATAGTATGGAGTGAGGGAAAAACAATGACTGTTCTGGTATTGCTTGGGTGAGTGGTTGGTCAGGTGCCAACACACACACTCAAAATAGTTAGAGATAATTTGCCTTTATCAGAGCTGTTGTCAAATATGCTCCCAATCACATACATACACACGTGCTCACACTAACATACATATACATGCATACCCACTCACTTCTACGTTTACATTCAAGTGTCCTACACATCTAAGCCTGACAAGAATACATCTGCTGCATTTTACTGTTTATATCTTTATTTTGGAGGTCACTTTAGACGTCCACTTTAACTTTATTGAACTTAGAATAAGAAAGAATACAACTGAAACTCCCTCGACGGGGGATAGCCACATAGTGTGCTTTCCTTGGTCTCCCAAAGCATGCTAAGAACAACAGACTCTCTTGTAAAGAATAAAATATATTCCAAAGCAGTAAGAACATTCCAGAATATATCCCAAAGCAATAATTTTTTATTATTCCTTTACATACAATTTAATAATATTTATTTAGATAATAAATGCAAATATAGTCATAATTATTAGGAATAGATTTTTCTTTAGCTTAAAAAATTTTGAAGATAAAACATGATTTTATAGTTTTGCTCTGATGTTAGTAATAAAGCAAATTTATCACAAAATCTATATTTTGACATGTCTATTAACAGTTACAGTTCTTCAAATCCTTCTCATGATTTAATAGTCGTCAGCATCTCCAGCAGAGATGGCAAGCAGAACTTTCTCATAATGTCCTGAAGCAAAATTCTGAAAAGAAAAAAAATACAATGTATTTGAAATAAAATGTCATAGTATTTATAAAAAAAAAAACATAATTCCTCTGATCTACAGTATAAAAGACCCAAGGGTCATTAGCTTTTCCTAAAATATTTACTTTTTTCATCCAAAGATTTAATATATTCTGAGAACTAGTTCTAGTGGAAGCTACTGAAAAATTATACCATGGTTATAGTCAATAGAAACAGGTTTATACAAAATTGATTGAATTCTACTGTATATTTATAAGAATTAAATGTTCTGGGCCTCCCTAGTGGCGCAAGGGGTTAGGACACAACCTATGAAGCTGTCCGTAGCCATTTCAGCACAAGTTCGATCCCTGGCCAGGAAGCTACACACATGGCGCAGCAGACCTCTCCTGACTCGCCTGCTGCTCCTTTCAGCAGTGTATTTCAGTCATCTGCCTGTTCTGTTCCCCATCCTGTCTCTGGTGAATCCTCTCACTCCTCACACCTCTGGCCTGTACCCCAGCTCTTGTATGCATAAGTAAATAAATATTCCAAAAAAATAAAAGTAAAAACAAATGTCCACCCAAACTACTTAAAATATTGCCTTAGGCTTTTCTCAAGTCATATTTTGTGATTCTCCTGCTTTTCGTCAGAAATGCTATATAATGACGTAGAAAGAGCAAGCACAGTGGAGCCAGAGTTGCCATCGAACCTACCGTGTGCTCTCATGAATTCCTTTTTAATATTATTGAATATCTCAAATTTGGTTTCTTTATAAAGTTGAGTGATGCTGCTTATGTGCCAGCTAGTTTATAGATTGCAAGGATTTTTGATGTGATTGAAGAGTCAATTTTTACTCTGTGAGGCCTAAACAAATATTATATTCTCAGTGTTTTTCTCCTCAATGTCATAATTTGTAAAAAGTTTATATAAGTTAAAGTAAATGATTACAGTGTCCTGAAATGAAAATATATTCTCTCAGATTAATTTACATGAGCGTATGTGACTTAGATATTTGGGTATCAGTAACTTCTAGTAAGTGTAAGCTAAATTTTAATATATTTATATAATTAAGAGTATTGGTATAATTTTTTAAATGTTTTCAACTAAAAACATACTTGATGATTTGGCTTGATTTTAATTGTATCCGAGTGACTGGAAAACCATAAATAAATAAAATGAGTTTAATCTGCTTACTTCTTGTGTCTTTGTGTTAAATCTATGCATCTGTTAACCCATTTGCACACATTTTATATTCAATATTATATACATAATCATTTTCCCCGCATAGCCTTAAACACAGATAACATTCTATTTTGGACTCCAAACTTGAGTAGAACCTTTCATCCTCAGAGCAAAAGGTCAATTCTTTCTTACTATACATAGGTGACATTAATATACATAGGTGATATGTATAATAGATGACACTATTATACATAGATGATATTGGATTAGAAAAATATCTGTGGCTCATTTTGTTTGGAGATGAAATACTCTTATTTCCTGAAACTGATTCATTAGTAGATGTACCATGTTAGGGGTTTCTATTTCTTTTTGCTAAAACAATTTTCGTTGTTTTCAAATACATACTACAAACAATTTCGGAAAGCCAAGAACTAAGAAACTAAAATGATTTCTGTTGCTTCCTAATCGCTGAAACAATGAAAGACAATATATTATCCCATTGGGATAATATACCCCAGTAGTTTCATAAACCTGAGGGAGACATGAAGATGTATTGTTCCATATGACCGAGTCAATCTGGCTCTCTAAATTTTAGAATAAGATTATGTCTTGCAATCTGGTATTCTTAAAAGACTGGGTTATTCCCAGCCCCTCAGAGTTGACTCCTAATGGACAGCCCTTTTTAATTTTTAGCAACAGCACTGGAACTACTCATGAAGACTGAGTTTACATAGGAATTCTGAAGTCATTTTATATTTTAATTGTAATAATTTTATAATGTGATTTTCTTCTTAAGAAGCATACACAGAGACCCTGGTGAGATTTAATGGAGAATGATTAATATGGCCATAATTTATTCCCATGTTTTTTCCCAAGAGAGGAAAAGATGATATTGGTACTGGGCTTCTAAAGGAACTTCTTGAATAGCTGTTTATTTAAAAATTTTATTTTCAGAAAATTGTAGATGCAGATGCAGTAACAAGAAATAACTCAGAAAAATCCCATATAGATGTAATCAGTTTACTGAATGGTAATGTCTTGCATAAATAGTATAATACAATATCAGAACTGGGAAATGAATGTAAAAATAATCCATTATTCAGATGTCTTCAGTTTTATATCATTGACTCGTTTGTGTGTATTTAGATCTATGCAAATTTATTGCCTTTGTAGGTTTGTGTATCTACAATCACAGTGGAGATACAGTTCTTACACCAGCTCTCCATTCTACTCCCTCCTCCCTGATTCTCTTCCCGTCAGCAAGTCCCTAACCTCTGGAAACCACTAACTCTTCTCTATTTCTGTAATTTTGTTATTGTGAGACCTCTATAAATGGAACAATGCAGCATGGAATCTGAAATTGGCTTTTTTCCCTAGCATAATTCCCGACACCCCCTTTTCCAAGGTTTTGCCTGTAGCAATAGTTAATTGCTAAATAGGATCCCACAATATGGACATATCCAAGTTTGTTAAAAGCCATTCAATGCATTGAAAGACTTTTGGGTTGACTATGGAAAGCTGTCAGGAGGTTCCTCAGTCTACTAAAAATGTAGCTACCATAGGACCCGGCAATTCCATTCCTGGGGATCTACCCAATGGACACAAAAACATTGATTCAAAAGACCACCTGTACCCCTATGTTTATTGAGCACTATTTACAATAGGTAAAACCTGGAAACAACCCAAATGCCCCAAAACAGATGACTAGATCAAGAAGATGTGGCATATATACACAATGGAATACTATTCAGCAATCAAAAAATATAAACTC